GTTGGACATATGTTACTAGTCAGTTGGACATATTTTACTAGTCAGTTAGACATATTTTACCAGTCAGTTGGACATATTTTACTAGTCAGTTGGACATATTTTACCAGTCAGTTGGACATATGTTACTAGTCAGTTGGACATATTTTACTGGACAGTTGGACATATTTTACTGGACAGTTGGACATATTTTACCAGTTAGTTGGACATATTTTACTAGTCAGCTGGACATATTTTACTAGTCAGTTGGACATATTTTACTAGTCAGTTGGACATATTTTATTAGTCAGTTGGGCAGATATTACCAGACAGGTGGACATATTTTACTAGATATTTGGGCATATATTACTAGACGGTTGGACATATGTTACTGGTCAGTTGGACATATTTTACTAGAAAGTTTGACACATATTACAAGACAGTTAGACGTAAATGACCAGACTGACAGGTTAGGAATGTTGAATGATGACTAATCCAACTAAACCAACTGGCAGCAAGTTGATACTGATACAGTCAAATGTTGCAGGTGGACACCCAACCATGTATGATCAACACCATGTCTCCGCCAAATGAATCCTGTCTTTGGCACCTTTCACAAATAAGCATGGAGTAAACTATGGAGTGTTCAGCTCATAGCTTGCTGGGGCGGTCGGGTAGCCTAGTGGTTAAAGCATTCGCTCGTCACGCCTAAGACCCGGGTTCGATTCCCGACATGGGTACAATGTGTGAAGCCCATTTCTGGTGTCCCCCGCCGTGATATTGCTGGAATATTGCTAAAAGCGGCGTAAAACCATACTCACGCACTCCCTCACTCATAGCTTGCTGATCGTGGCACTAGAGTAGTGGATGTTTAGCATGTATGTTACCAACAATGAGGTGGGGTGAGGTGAAATGGGGTTTAACGTCGCGTCCGAAATTATTGCACTTGTGTGTGTGTGTGGTTGCTTGTACTAGACAGGAATGGTGCCGATATAAAGATTTATAGTGCTAGCCCACTGAGATACCATGCCGCAGTTTTACATGAATACCCCACTCAGACACAGTATACTGACTCCGAGCCGACCAGTCCTTGTTTTAGACCCTCAATGCCGAGCGCCAGACAGGGTAACAACAAGTACCATCTTTTAACGTCTTTTGGTATGACGCAGCCAGGAATTGAACCCCGGACGGACACTCCACCACTAGACCACCGAGCCGGTCTTCCCAATGATGGGGGGCACGGGTGGCCCAGTCGTCTAAGGCGCCCGATTCGCTGTGCAGAGTTGCGTCCCTTGGGTACGCCAGAAACCTATGATTGTGGGTTGGAATCCCGATTATGTTTCTAGGTTTGTCAGCACCATACCCGTGCTCGTGGGTTTCACCGAAGTGGTAAACGTCTGAGACCTGCATCATTTCGGGCTCTCCTCCCACATTAAGCTGACACGCCGCGATATAACTGGAATACTGTTAAAAGCGGCGTTGAACCGAACTCACTCACTCACTCACTTCCCAATGATGAAGAGACTAAAATGTGTGCCAGAGGTTCTGATCATGGGCCCTGTTCCAGAACATGATCTTAGCACTAGGATGATCTTAACTTCCATACTTCAACATAGACTTATGACAGTCGTAGCGCTGAGGTCGTTTTGTGGAACAGGGCCCTGTCCTTAAAATGGCCACCACAATGGACAACTTATCAGAGTGAGTGAGTATGGTTTTACACTGCATTTAGCAATATTCCAGCAATATCACAGCGGGGGACACCAGAAATGAGCTTCACACATTGTAGCCATGTTGGGAATCGAACCTGGGTCTTCAGCATGATGAGCAAACATTTTAATCACTAGACTACCCCACTGCCCCTGACAACTTATCAGACATTTTGGCAGCCAATAACTTGAAATTGGCTTTATGAAGTGGAGCTTACATGTGTGTCCACTCTTTGGGTGCTCCTTAACATTCTATTCTTTTGTGATCTCTTATGCCTTTTTAAGGTACAGTATATTAGTTTGTTCCGTATCATTTGACTCACTTGGGGCTTTCCTCCCACATTAAGCTGACATGCCGCGATATGACTGGAATACTGTTAAAAGCGGCGTTAAACCCAACTCACTCACTCACTCACTCACGTATCATTTGACAGTTGTTTTAATAAATATATTATCCACAAAATAATTGTTGTTGCTTAACACTATCTGAGGAGTATATATTTCTGTATATTTGAAAAAAAACAACTATATTTCTACATGTGTATTGAAAAAATGATTTCACAAAGTTAGAAGAATGCCAATCGTTCTCCATTGTCAGCTTTTCTCATTTTACATTTTCTCGGCTGTTCATGCTTTGCAGTCCCTTTGAGTTTCAGCGTTTGATAACAGTATTGATGTGGATCATATGAAACAGTGACTGCTGTTGTCTATGACTGCAGCAGAGGTTAATTCTCACCGGTCTTCAAAACAGACATCTTGACGACACACTTCCTCCTTTGTTTGTTGACTGCAACACAACACTGCCATCTCCCACGCAGGTTTTGCATAACCTTTCGCTTCTTTATTCCAACCAGAATTGGCTATATATGGATGTTTTTAATTTACTTAGGAGACGGCGCATGAAATACTAAATGGGGAGTTGTTTGATGAGGTGGAATGATCAATATGTCGGGGGCACAGTGTCCTCCTACCTGTCCGACAGGTAAGTGCTACCTGTAATGACAACTGACATTAAGAGTGCTGATAGTGCATAGTTGTGATTTAATCATTCCCAGTTTAGCTTTTTGATTTCATGTTGTATTGCGAGGGAGAAAATGGAATTTAATGCAGCAATTTTTTGCCATTAAAGACAATCTGCTGCTTGTAGTTGAAACCTGTTTATAACTTGGTGCAACCAAGGTGATGTCAGATACAAACACACCCAACTGGTGTTCGCAGCTCCCAGTGGAATAAAAAAGATGAGTTACCATGCAAGCATCACTGTGTATGAATTCAACCAATGAAACAAAATTCACTTGATTTTGATTTGGCCAAAAGAATTCTCACATATAGTTAATATATTTTGTCCATAAAGACTGTCATACTGCTCATAATACTTGCGAGTATGTTTACATGAAACTGTTGTATTCAATAATTTTGTGATCTTTGCAAGTAAAGTAAAAAATCCAATTATACCATTTTCTTGAATATCATTAAAACCACACCCATGAAGATCCGGGTAAGAATTGGTCTTCAGCAACCCAGGCTTGCCGTAAGAGGCAACTATACTTGTCGAAAAAGGCGACTAGCATAATCGGGTGGTAAGGGTCGCTAGTGAGTGAGTTGAGTTTAACGCCGCTTTTAACAGTATTCCAGTTATATCACGGCTTGTCAGCATAATGTGGGAGGAAAGCCCGAAGTGATGTAGGTCTCAGATGTTTACCACTTTGGTGAAACCCACGAGCATGGGTATGGTGCTGACAAACCTAGAAACATAATTGGGGCGAATCGGGATTCAAGCCCACAATCATAGGTTTCTGGCGTGCCCAAGGGACACAACTCTGCACAGCGAATCGCGGAGCCTTAGACACCTGGGCCACCCGTTTCCCCAATCCCGTTAGTTGCCTCTTACGACAAGCATAGTCGCCTTTTACAGCTGAACCCCACCCCTAAGGTGGACTGACCGAGGGTCCTTGTTTTTCCATACTGACCTCGTCAAGAGTAATCATTCGTTTTTGTTATACCAAAAATCAGCTTAAAGTTTATGAAGCCTATAAACCCTCCTATGCTTCAGTACAGCAACTTAGCTGAGAGCTGTGAAATGTTAGTACCAGACGCCATCTGGTTTTATAGCAGATGAGTCAATATTCATCACGTGACATGTCAATACTGATCATGTGATGAGTCAATAATCGAGTTCAGTCTGTGTTGGGGGTCTACATTGAAATGTATTGTTTTGTCACGTGGTATGGATTAACCAATGGAATTGCAACATTCTTGACAGTTCCAACAATTCATGATGTTACCCTTATGTTCACAGTGGACATATGTTTAAAATTAATTCAGTTATCCTTATCTGTGACCAAATGGTAAATCGCAAAGAACAATGAAAAAGAACGAAGCACTGTTTATTTCATGATAAAACATTATTCTATCATGACGTCATTTCTGGAGATTCGAATAAAATTCGCAACTTGATGTCATATCTTGGAGGGTGTTGTTTTAGAGAGGGAAGTGCCTTATAAGACGTTTCCCATAGGAAAAGCATATAAAAGCAGTGGCCGGACAATCGCATCCAAATGTGGGAGAGATATGACAATCAGTATTGGGAGAAAAGCTACAGATAATCAACATGAGGATTGTGAGAATATGCGGAAAATACAAAACTTAACACACCTGTTGGTAAAATGTACTTGTCAGACATTTCTGAGGTCTGATTCTATTCAGGGAGTCATCATTATTAAAATGTGGGTAAACATTTTTAAAGCTTGTAGATTTGTATCAACATCCTTAAAGAGGCTGTACATAATGTTGATATCTCATATAAGATATAAACAACTTGTGGGAGTTGTTTATCGTACAATAAAACACTGCAGGGAGAACAAACCTTGAGGGCCACACCTCTTATACCATTAGCGCCTTTTTAGAGGTGGTCATCAAGGGACTGGAAGTTCTGGCCCAAATATACTACTAAAAATAAGTTAAGGACTACCCATATCTTTCATATTACTGTACTATAGTTAATCTGCAATGGAAGATATCACTATAGTTAATGTGTCATGCCACGACAGGTTAACTATAGTAAAATGAAAGAATCAGGTGTTCCTTCACTTAATGTGCGTAGCATACATCACAATGGAATTCACTTTCTGCACATATCAGCAGTACAACTTCTTCACTGAATGTGCATGTACCTCCTTAGCAATTGTATTTGAGTAGAACATTGTGGTACAGTGTCTTTGTTACACCAGACTCCATGGCAACGATTACCTGGTGCAATGTGACCGTTACCTGTATGTAACGATTTCTTCCAAGTCAAATAAACAACAATAAACATGTTCTACAAATTGTTTTTATTTTCTATCTTAGTAGTCATTCATAAACATTTCATCACAGGCAGTAATCAGTCAATATATGTACATACATACATACACACATAGCACTCTGTTAAACAACTAAATATCTATTACATATACCGGAACTAAACAATGAGTCATCACCTCTGACCTCATCCACACAACATAGAGGCTGTCCTACCATAGGTGAACACCTACCTGCCTACTGCAAATGATGCCGAATGCCAAGTTGGGGGTGGTCAACTCCAAAGGTTATTGGCACAGGCTGAGTATCCATGCTGCTGTGTTCCAATACAAGGGCGAACAGATACCTGGTTGATGGTGTGTGATACTTGAACTGAATGTCAGGAAGTTACTAAATTCAACCAATTTCATGACAAAGTGTATCAACTATCATTATGACGTGAGTGAGTGAGTTGGGGTTAATGCCGCTTTTAACAGTATTCCAGTTATATCGCAGCATATCAGCTTAATATGGGAGGAAAGCCTGAAGTGATGCAGGTCTCAGACGTTTACCACTTCAGTGAAATCCACGAGCACGGGTATGGTGCTGACAAACCTAGAAACATAATCGGGCGAACCCGGATTCGAACCCACAATCATAGGTTTCTGGCGTGCCCAAGGGACGCAAGCATTATTACTGGTCACCCTACACTTATGTCATTAGACAATACAAATCACAATGCAGAAATTCTAGGAGATTTTGGCATTTCAGGTGCTTGGGCAGCGGTAGAAACTAACAGTTTTAGTCCACTAGTCCCTATAATGATAACATATAGCAAAACCCTTAAAAATGGCAAATTCCTGCTACTTCTTAAGGTATAACTATTTGGCAGTTTACAAGGACTACAGGACTAGTGCCAGTTTCTACCGTTGTTGGGTAACCCTTTGTTAAGACGTGCACTATTACATCTATATGGTAAGTACATCAGGGTAAGTTTTACCTTCATTTACACTTTCAAGAGTTCAAAATGTTTGTTTGTTGTTTAATGCCGCACTCAGCAATATTCCAGCTATATGACGGCGGTCTGTAAGTAATCGAGTCTGGACCAGACAATCCAGTGATTGACAATATAAGCATCGATCCACGCATTTAGGATTATATGATGAACCAAGTCAGCGAGCCTGACCACCCGATCCCGTTAGTATGAATTCCAAGACAACTGGGAACTCAACACATTTGGGTTAAAAAAGTGACAAATATAATAGAGTTTGCCAGGACCTGACATTGAATTCAACACAACCGAGGATTCAATACATCTGAGTTCGAGACAACAGGATGCGACTGTTGTTGTCTCTGACTGCTTGTCATGAGGGTTACAACTGAATTTGGTGATGAGACCTGCTGACTTTACTGGTTTTGTATAATCATTCACGGACACTGGTCTCCCTTGTCCTGACTAAATTATTATGATTCTAACATTTAAAACCTCTGCCTTACTTTATCGGTTCCAAATCTTAAGACAAAATGTTTATCACCTCGGCCAAATGAGAATGTGCAAAGCTATTGAGGAAAAAATGGCAGTCGTACCATTACAAGGACATGGAGAAATGGTATCACACAAAATGAATGTGAGGAACAGAACCGCAAACAAGTGTGTGAGAGCAGTTGTGACCCGCCCCGCATTCCCACCAACGTCAGAAGCAAGACTACAAGAAGGGGCATGATGATGCCAGCATTATAGTTGATTTAACAAAATAATATAAAAATTCACATTGATAGATATTGTTCAAAACAATACATTCAAATTTTATACATAAAAGGTTGCAATCCACTAACTTTCGTGATGTTTGCATACTGACAAGATCTTTATCTGGGATTCGAACTACAACCAGCGGATCCTATCATACCAAGGGATACAACTCTGCATCCAGTTCCACAACCTTGGTGGCAAAGATGGTCCAGTCTATTTCACAACTGTTGTGAAACCAACTTTATGCTGGAACCAGTGTTTTGTATTATGATATATTTCCAGAAAAAAATTGTTTTATTTCTTGAAAACATCATTAACGGCCTACAAATCTGCTGTTGATGCTAGGGACGACTACTGGGGCTATTTTTACAATTGCAATTGTATTGCAATAGTACTGAGATAGTATTAAACCACCTTTTAGGCTTGATAATTATATTAATCAATGTGATAGAAATAAATAAAGTATTGTCGACAATGTCAAAGTCGGCCATTTACCTCCCTGTCTCTACTAAAACCCAAAGGAAGTAACTCTAATATTAAGTTGTTTTAATTGTTGCTAAGTAACACAGGACACATCTAAAATTCATGTGTAAAAAGTGAGTCTTCTCAGCATATTTATGTTTTATTCATAACTTATTGTGACTATTGAAACTATTGATTGTTATGCATACCATCAACAATTCTTTTGGCTTCTTAAATTTCTATCGATATAGTACAATTGTAGGGCAAACAATTGCAAAACATCAAAAGTTTGATATATATCGTTACACTTTTAGTTCATGCAATGCTGATATGATTAAGTAACACAGTAAGTACTGAATAATCTGAGACAGAAGTATGTGATGTATGGAAGTAACTCCCCAAGAGAAGACCACCCTTACTAACGCTCCTTCAGCCAATGAATTTATTTGACATCCGACACAATAATTTAGAAAATGGCAGCAGACTCAAGTTCCCAGTTGATCCTGCCATCAATTCATGCACACCTTGAACACTTCCTGTATTTATAACTCCTTCACACATTTGATATATAATATTCATCCTGGTAGTAATAGTGCTGCAGCAATATCCTTTGATGTGATTGGCTTATATCATCCACATCATCATCTACGGAATGGATTCAGGCCCCAAGACCCCACTTTCTTCTTTTGTTGATCCTGCTGAATCATCAGTTGTTTTTCTTGCTCTGCCTGAAAACAAAATAGAAATGTGGCAAATAACCTTTATTACAATTTAAATTGCTACATATTAAACCGAAACCAAGGATAGTTGCAGCACTCTTACATGTCAGTGAGTGAGTTAGTGAGTTGGGTTTAACGCCGCTTTTAACAGTATTCCAGTTATATCACGGCGTGTCGGCTTAATTTTGGAGGAAAGCCCGAAGTGATGCAGGACTCAGACGTTTACCACTTCGGTGAAACCTACGAGCACGGGTATGATGCTGACAAACCTAGAAACATAATTGGGGCGAACCGGGATTCCAACCCACAATCATAGGTTTCTGGCGTGCCCAAGGGACGCAACTCTGCACAGCGAATCGCGGCGCCTTAGACGACTGGGCCACCCGTGCCCCCCTCTTACATGTCAGATCTCATGTCCAGGTGTAGTGTTTCTGTAAGATACCTGTTGTCCATGTCATGTTGTCAGAATTTTGATACATTATTCAACAAGCTGAAAGAAGGTTGATATACTGTAGTCAAAGTAACCGTACATTATTCACAATGGTTGGACAAATCTATTTCTTGTTTCACAGGAGACTGCCTAATAAAAAAACATGGGTCTTTTGTGATGGAATTTGATATTTATGTAACCAACAACTTTGCATCTTTATTTAAAAAACTGTCATAATAATGCATAATACACCTTTGTGACTTGTCATGCTTCTTTTTGATCACACACAAATCCCCACCCTTGAACAACCAAACACCAAGACATCCTCAACATTAAAACAGCATCGTTCAACAAGTCCTTCACTAGTAAATGATTTATTTCACGTTTAGTTTCACGTCCTAACAAAATAAATGACATAATCTGTCTCCATTGGCTGATAACCTTTGTTGTTCTTTAACATTTTACACCATGTTTCTTAGCAATAACTTTCTATTGTCCCAAAGCGTGGACAGCATTTAACAAGTTGCTTCAGTTGCTACAGATCTTGTAAATGCCTCCGTGAAGAACTTGAAGGTACAGGGTGGTGAGAAGGAGATTACATGACAGGGTTTATCGCAACTGGATAAATCACAAAGGCACACGACTGATTTATGTTATGACAAACCTTTAGGAAGTATTATAAACAGCTCTACAAGCCCTGTGTCAGACAGCAGCAGCTGGAAGACCGCCTTCAATGGCCACCTTACTCTGGCAATACTTCCCTACCTGATTTATTAGGTAATACTATGAAGTCATCAAGAGTTGCAATAAATATTGGGTAGCAAGTTCTTTTCTACATAAAGGATGCTCTGGAAACAATTATTTGTTACCTTTCTAACAGTTTTTCTGGTGAATTTTCATACAACATGTTTTGGAGAAGGAATGGATTCTTGATACACTCGATGAGCCCAACTAATTTATTACCACTTCAGCAAGATAAACACACAAAGATAGCTCCACAACATTACACATCTTAGCCCAGAAAACCTGCAGGAATCGCTGAATACCTCCATTACTACCAACAGTAGGGGTGCGGGGTGTTACCAGTCTTCCGCTAAATTGCAACCAAAAATGTCTGTGAATACATATCATGATAAACATCATGATACCAATCGCCCTAAACTGGTTTTCACGATACAGTCTAATCACTTGAGGAGTTTCCATTAAAGGTTGTATATAGCACTGGTAATTGTTGAGAATAAACTAAATTTATAATAAACCCGACCCCGATTTCCAGGCTCTGCTGAACAACGTGGATAAGCATCTATTTGGAAACATTTGGCTTAAGAAATCATCTCGGTAAAATCGTTACAAAGCAGAAGTTGAATATACTGCAAACCGTATCGCAATACAGCACGTTGTATTGCAACAACATATTGCAATAAGGAATTTCTGCCACTATCCACCCCTAAACAACAGTACAGAAGCTTTCCACACAATAATGTCTTCATGGAATACAATTCTGTCTGTAGTCAAAGGTAGTAGTAAAACAACCCATACTGTAAACAGTACATCAGCCATATCTTGGAATGTCAGGTTAGTAGGGCAGGACACATAGTTAAGTCAATACAATACTTTTTAACTTATAATTCTGACAGATAAAGGATCATAATTGAGAAGATTCTGGGATTTGAAGCCATGATCAGCAGATCCTAATGTGTCTAAGGGACACAACTCTCAAGTTAGTTCAAACACATGACAAATGTTAGTTGAAATATTGGTCTTGTCCCATCAAATGGAGAGGAGGGATATCTACATGACCTAAGGACGAAGAGAGTGAGGTAGATTTAATGCTGCTTTGAACAGTATTCCACTTATATCACAGAGTGTCAGCTTGATGTGGAGGAAAGCTTGAATAGAAGCAGGTCTTAAATGCTTACCACTTTGCCGAAACACATAACTAAGCACAGGTATGATGCTGACATAACTAGAAATATAATCCGGGCAAACCGGCATTAAAACCCTTGATCAGCAGAGGTAATGTGCAGTGCCGTAGCCAGCCGGGGGGGCCCTGCCCCTGGATATTTTTTTTATAGAAAACAGTTTTATTTGAATAAAGTTTGGGACAAGTGATACTGTACAAACATTTGTAACTACGGCCTTAATGTGTCTCAGGATCACACCTATAATGTTACAAATGTTACTGTTAGTGTGTTATTGCCTCATCAGATGCAAAGGAGAACACCTACAAGACCTAAGGATGAAGAACATGCAACACATTTTACCTAGGGGAATTAAACCAGGTAATTCTTCATAACAAGCAAACACACCAACTACTGCGCCACCCTAGCTGAAGAAGTGGAGGATGTTACCTGTAGTTTCCTCTGGTTCTCCTTGAACATCTCGAGGGGGTTGTCAAACTGGCTGTAGTACTCCATCACAGGACGGATGTCTTCTACACCACTTGAAGCCAGTGCTGAAACATACCATACACTGTACACATCCACATCTTCCTAACGGTCTCAATGTCTTTTGTGAGTGAGTAAGTTGGGGTTAACGCTGCTTTGAACAGTATTTCAGTTATAACACAGCAAGTCAGTCAGTAGGTCTTAGGTGTGATCCACTTGGATGAAACCCACCAGCATGGGTATGGTGCTGATCAACCAAGTCAGCGAGCCTGACCACCCGATCCGGTTAGTATCAGGACGGATCATGTTTCCTACTGATGACCCCGTGGGTATTCTGAGACAGAGTCATGAGTGAGTGAGTGAGAGTATGGTTTTACGCTGCTTTTAGCAATATCACGGCGGGGGACACCAGAAATGGGCTTCACACATTGTACCCATGTCGGGAATCGAACCCGGGTCTTTGGCGTGACGAGGGAACGCTTTAACCACTAGGCTACCCGACCACCCCCTGATAAACCTAGAAACAAGCAGGGCTAGCCAGGATATGAACCCACCTTCACAGGTTTCTGGCATGCTAAATGAACGATTCCCTGCACAACAAAATACAGCAGACTTTGGACGACAGGGCCACCCGTGCCCCCATCTTAATATTATGATAAATAGTGCTGAAATGTACCTTGCACATCTACAAACACGTCTCCTCAGCCATTTCATGTCTTTATTGTTATAAATCATTTTGACACGGCTTGTATTCCCTATACAGTCACCTCTTACAAAGGATAGGATAATTGGGATTTCTCCCCTCTTCACTGCAAAGACTGGGGATTGAGTTATGTTTAAAATGTAGCATGGCTATCTTAAAGAGGTCTTTATTTCTCTATTACAACCAGCAGAGGAGGAAATTCCCAATCAACTGTCCTCATGCATATCTGAGCTGAAATCGTGCAATGTCTATAGTTTAAATGGTGCCTTGATACGTGAGGAACAACTGAAGTGCAGTATCTTAAGCTTACCTGGTCAAATGGTCAATCGACGTCTAATTTTAAAGGACAAAAATAGAAACGTTGAGATGCACATACCCAGCTACTTTCAATTACCGTATTCGACGTAATAAGCGCCCCGCTCTAATAAGCGCCCACGGTGACATTTGCTGATATATTGGCTTGTGAACAATCCCAATTAGCACCCCTTCAGATTGATCAATGTACACGACTAATTTATTCGCGTATAATACGCACCCTTAAATATGAGCAATAAAATTCTGGAAAAATATATCTGTCGTACATAAACATTTCAGGCTGTCAGCATAACCATGAAATTTATCTTTCAACTCTGTTTTTTTTCACCAAAATAATATTCTAATCAGAGCCCCCTATTTCTAATTTTGAGAGCGCCCTGGGCGCTTATTACGTCGAATACGGTATACAGATTCTGTATTCATTGAGTAAATCTGTCTGTCTGGCTGTCTGTGAGTAGGTAATTGATGAATTTTGTCAATGAAAACACAGTTGTCAGGGTATAATTTAGTTTATGTCCTTTGACCATGCTGTCAAATTCTCTAAACTGCTGGTGTATAGTACAACAGCTATGGGGAGGAGCGTGTTCGCTCGTCATCGCCAGAGGTCAAGTGTGAGGTTTGCTGATGACATTGATTAAGAATGGGGAAATGTTAACTCAAAGAACATGTCCTTTCTTTCTCATGTACAATACAATGATACTACAATTTCCTCAATGATGTTTACATGTGTTAAATACGTTTTTTGTTAATACAGAAGCTACATGACCTACTCAAGTCCTTCTTGCGCACCAGTTTTCTAGTAAACCATAGGAAGGTGAGGTTTCTAAAGAGAAAGATGAAGAGCTCTAAGAAATTGTGTGCTTAAAGTATTTGTTTTCCTCCTCACAAAATTACCTTTCTAGAGATCTGTTAAAACAGAATGATAAGCAGTTTCAAGAATTCACCAGAACCAAGGGCTCGATGAGTTTTGTCATACTCTATCCATCAGTTACCTTTCAGCTTCTTCTTACTGAGCCTGCTGAGTGAGTGAGTATTCCAGCAATATCATGGTGGGGGACACCAGAAATAGGCTTCACACATTGTACCCATGTCGGGAATCGAACCCGGGTCTTCTGCGTGACAAGCGAACGCTCTAACCACTAGGCTACCCGACCGCCCCCTCAGCCTGCTTGAAGGGGCAAGTAGAACTTATTTTAATAAAACTGTCAGCAAAATTGCCAAGCTTTTTTTTTGTTGAAAATTATAGAATTGAAATGTTTGGCAGACTCAAACCAAGTGACAATATTGTACCAGGGCACTCTTGCCCACCATGTACATTCAAAGAGTAACTGGAGTGTTATTAACAGTGGAGTCTAATACTAAACGATTATGTCTTAAACATTTTCCACAATGGAATATTTTGTAAGTTAAAACAACTCATTCTTTCAATTCCATATGGTGAACAAATTCAAGTCACATTATGGCCCAATTCATCTTCATAAAGTTTCAGCTGTTCGAGGTTTCATGGAAGATTCTTGAGGATTTTTAAAATTTGAATCTTACTAATATTTTATACTGTATAAATATACTGTATTTAATTTACCATGTTTACTGTTTACAAACCATATACAAGTTTAGGACTACCAGACCGTGGCGTTTTTAATAGGAAACTCTTAAAGATACTTTACAATTTAAAAAAAAATCATTTAAAAACACCAACTATTTTTCCCCCATGCAATATAATCCTCATCAATGGGAAAACACCAACTATTTTTCCCCCATGAAATATAATCCTAATCAATGGGAAAACACCAACTATTTTTCCCTCCATGAAATATAATCCTAATCAATGGGAAAACACCAACTATTTTTCCCTCCATGAAATATAATCCTAATCAATTGGAAAACACCAACTATTTCCCCCCCCGAAATATAATCCTACTCAATGGGAAAACACCAACTATTTTTCCCTCCATGCAATATAATCCTAATCAATGGGAAAACACTAACTATTTCCCCCCCCCCCATGAAATATAATCCTAATCAATGGGAAAACACCAACTATTTTTACCCCATGAAATATAATCCTTATCAATGGGAAAACACCAACTATTTTTTCCCCCATGAAATATAATCTTAATCAATCTGGTTCATCCCTTCAGCTGGTTCAGAGATGAAGTCAGTTAAGGACGTACAGACGCTGAACACATCATAAGCTTACAGAACCATCAGTCATGGCCAGTATGCATCCTATGTACCCTGGGAATCAGTAAAAAACAACACCACAGTTATATGAAGGTTACTTAATAATCAAACGACATATCGCCTTCCAATATAAAGAATAAGAGTAACCTCCCTTTCAAGATCCAAACATCAAATTTCCAATATATATATCGATAGCAACACAATATAATGGCAGTGCTTTGCTATATCTCACATCCAGTGTCAACTGGCAATATTCCTCTACCATGGACCTATAATTAGCCTTCACAGAGTCCAGGGTTTGACTGCACCTAGGTGATGGTAGCATTCTCCCACTCCTCTCAATGCAGAGACATGCTCGGGAGGCATAACTCCTGACAACAATTGCCTTTAGCTTAGAGTCCCCCATTACATACTGTCTAGTAGTTAAATCCTGCCCTTGCAAACATAAAACTGAAGCAGTGTGTCAAACCAAGACCCAGTGTGACGTCTATTTATCAACATACTCTTGACTTACAGCTCAACACAACTATGATAACATTCATGCTAGTTCAGGGCTCCAAAGAAAAGTATTTAGACAGGACCATGTATAAAGCATGCTGCAGCCTCTCAAGCTGACCCGGCGTGTAAGACACAGGTGCTCAAAGTAACAATTGCAAGTGTTTTTTCGGTGCATCCCAAGTGCACTTCTTGCAAACCTCCACGACCCTGTCATGATAAATTGTGTCGGTGTGCATGGGAAAGTGTGTCTGTGAGGTATCACATAGACCACCTCTCACTCAACTATACGGCAGTGAGTACATGGCATAGAAACTTTGCAAAGTCAAGAAAAACGGCCTCCCTTTCCACACGCTTTCCTCATCTATCAGAAAGCCAGTGAGGATTGAAAACTTAGCAACGAATTCAGATACTGGTAACATTGCTATCAGAAAAACATTTCACCACAGATAAAGAGTTAATCATATATATCCTAATAAGAGCTTGGTATTTATTACATACAAATATATTTTGAAAGTGAAGTTTACACGATATACAGCTTTCCCTTTGGTCGAGATGTTAGTCACATGCCTGCGAAACCAACGTTCATAAGCTCATTAAATTTGTTTGTTGTTAAACGCAACACTCAGCAATATTCCAGCGGTCTGTAAATAATCGAATCTGGACCAGACAATCCAATGACTGACATCATGAGCATCAATCCGACCAATTAGGATTCAATGATACTCATCAACCAAGTCAGTGAGCCTGACCACCCGATCGGGTTAGTATCAGGACAGATCATGTTTCCTACTGATGACTCCGTGGGTATTCTGAGATAGAGTAATGCGTGAGTGATTTTAGCTTTTAGCAATATTCCAGCAATATCACGGCAGGGGACACCAGAAATGGGCTTCACACATTGTGCCCATGTCGGGGTTCGAACCTGGGTCTTCAGCGTGACGAGCGAACGCTTTAACCACTAGGCTACCCGACCGCCCCTGAGACAGAGTAGCTTGGTCATATAATGAGTCATATAATCAAAGATTTTTCTTCACCATGTTCACATTTCTATAAAAGTTCTATGCAACAAGAAAGTCAGATTTAACAATATGATTCCAGTCATATTTGTAGTAAATTGTTCTCACTGGAAAAAAATAGAACATACGTGGTTTATTTGTTTGTTTGTTGTTTAACGCCGCACCCAGCAGTTTTTCAGCGTTATGACAGCGGTCTGTAAATAATCACGTCTGAACCAGACAATCCAGTGATGGATATCATGAGCATCAATCCATGACATTGGGATACAATGACATGCATCAACCAAGTCAGCGAGTCTGACCACCTGATCCCATTATTCGCCTCTTACGACAAACATGGGTTGCTGAAGAC